CCTCAGCGTCTGAATCAAGGCTGCGCGCGCTACAAACCTGAGACTTGGAAGGTGAAGTGGAGAGCTGCATTGCCCACTAACTGACCTTTGTTTTAACAGTTTTATTACGGTATAATTGGCTTACAATAAATTGCACATGTTGAAAGTGTACAACTTGATACGTTTCCAACATACACATTCACCCTTGAAACCACTGCCAGCCACTCTCGAGATAATGAGTGTACCCATCAGCCCCTTCCTCCCACCGTGACCTCTGCTTCCCCTCCCAGTGCAACCACAGGCCTGTCTGGTTTTTCAAACCTGTAGCTACTTTCCAATTTTACTGCAACAGTATTGATCTGTAAGTTTTAGGTGTACAATGTGATGATTTAATACACGTGTATGTTGTGAAATGATCACTACAGTTAGGTCAGTTAGCGCCTCCTTCATGCCTTCACATCATTACCTTTTTTGGGTGGTGATAACATCTAAGATCTCTTGGATGACTTTCAAGCATCCGACACGATATAGTTCACGGCAGTCGCCACGCTGTTCATTTCATCCCCAGAACTTAACTCATCTTATATCGGAGTTTGTACCCTTTGGCCAATGTCCCCCCATGTCTCCCGCCCCCAGGCTCTGGCAGCCACCATTCTATTCTCTATTTCCATGCGTCTGGTTTTTTTAGAGTTCACATTTAGATTCTCATAGAGAGAACAGTGCAGTGTTTACTTTTTCTGTCTGACTTATTTCACTTAGCGTAATGCCCTCAAGGTCCATTCATGTTGTTGCAAATCGTAGGAGTTCCTTTTCTTTTTAATGATTGAATAATATTTCATTATATATATAGCATTTTTGTAATCCATGCATCTGTTGATGGACACTTAGGTCACTTCCATGCATATATTCTGTCACTATACATTAATTCGCATTTCTTAGAATTTTATATAAATGGAATTATGCAGTGTGTACTTTCTGTATCTGGCTTCTTTCCACTCAGTGTAATTACTTTGAGAGCCATTCGTATTTTTCACATCTCAGGAGTTCCTTTCTTGTTGTTGGATGGTATTCCATTGTATGAATATACTATAATTTGTCTGTTCTCCTGTTGACAGACATTTGGGCGGTTTCCAGGGCTTGGCTATTACACGTGAAAGTACTAACAACATTTATGCACACGTCTTCATATAAACATATGCTTTCATTTCCCCTGAGTAAACACCTGAGGCTGCAATGACGCGGTTACGCAGCAGGTGCACTTCTAACTTGTTAAGAAACCACCAAACACTTTTCGAAAATGATCGTACCATTTTACACTCCTGCCAGCAGTGTGTGCAGGTGCCACCTTCTCCACGTCGTCACCAATACTTAGCCTTTTTAATTTTAACTTTTCTAATTGGTGTGAAATACCATCTCACTGTCATTTAAATTTATGTTGACTAATGATAGAGACCATTTTTCTCCTGTGCTTCTTTGCAACCCATATATCTCGTTTGGTGAAAACCTGTTCAAATCTTTTGACCATTAAAAAAAAAAATGGATTGTTTTCTGACTATTGAATTTTGAGACTTCTTTACATATTCTGGAAAAAAGTCCTTTACCAAATATGCATTTTTTTCTCATTCTGTCTTACATTTTTCCTTTTCTTAGCTATGTCTTCTGAAGAGCAGAAGTTTCAATTTTTGATGAAGTGCAGTTTATCAGTTTATTATTTACCATGGTTTTGGTGTCATGAAAAAAACTTTGCTTAACCCAAGGTCTCATAATTTCTTCTAGAAGTTTTATAATTTTAGGGTTTACATTTAGGTCTAGGATCCATTCTGGGCTAAGTTTTGTACATAATGAAAGTATGGATTAAAGTTCATTTTTTCATGTGTTTTGATATCCTCTTTTCCCAGCATTGTTATTGAAAAAACTATCTTTTCTCTAATGAATTGCTTTAAACCTTTGTCAAAAATCAGTTGTCCATATACGTGTGACCCTGTTGCTGGATTCTATTTTGTTCTGTTGATCTATTTGTTTATTTTTGACACCAAAACGACACTGCCTTAATTCCTGTAGCCTTATAATAATATGAAGATTGGCAGAGTTAGGCCTAACAGTTGTTCTTGTTTAAAGTTGTTTGGCTCTTTTAGGTTCCTTGCATTTTCATATGAATTTTAGAATCAGTTTGTCAGTTTCTCCAAAAATGCCTGCTGGGGTTCTGACTGGGTTGCAGTGAATCTGTAGACCAGTTTGGGAAGAACTGACATCTTACTAATATCGAGTCTTCTGACCCACGCCCCTCGCCATTTAACGAAGACTCCTTTAATTTCTCTCAGCGATGTTTTGGATGTATGTATCTTTCACATCTTTTCTCAGACTTACTCCTAGATATTTAATTTTTTTGGTGCTGTTATGAATGGCATTATTTCTTGGGGGCGGGTGTAGCTCAAGTGGCAGAGTGCATGCTTAGCACCGCATGAGGTCCTGGGTTCAATCCCCAGTACTTCCTCGAAGAATGAGTAATTACCTAATTATCTCCCCCAACTGAAAAAAAATTCCAGTGAATGGTATTATTTCTTAAATTGTAATTTATGATTGTTTGTTGCTAGTAAATAGGAAAACCAGTCTTACAATCTTTCCCTCTTATCTGGGATATTTAGACTTCTTACATTTAATGTGGCTTTCCATACAGTTAAGGTTAAATCTATCACCTCATTGTCTGTTTTCTCTTTGTCCTGTTGATTCTTTGTTCCCCTTTTCTTCTGCCTTCCTTTGGGTTAGTTGAATGTTTTTCATCACCACATTGTTGGCTTTCTTCCTTGCTGGCTTCTCAGCCATAGCTGTTTGTGGTGTCAGTTTAGGGACTACAGTGTATGTCTTTAACGCATCACAGTTGCCCTCATACCACTTTACACATACGAACCTTAATAATACGCTACCATTCCTCTGCCCCCAACCTTTGTGCTCTTGCCGTTAATTTCACTTTTTTACGTGTTATAAACTCCACATCACATTGTTATCATATTTGTTTAACCACTCAATTATCTTCCAAAGAGATTTGAATAATAAGGGAGAACTCTTATGTTTGCCTTTGTATGTAGTTAGCATTTCTAAGTTTTTTTATTCCTCTGTCTCGATTCATATTTCTTTCCAACACCATCATTGTCCTCTGCTCAGCAGGACTTTCTTCAACGGTTTCCATAGTGTGGATGTGGTGGGGATGGATGCTTACAGGTTTTACATGTCTTAAGAAGCATTTAGTTCACTTTCCTGTTCGAACAGTGTTTTTACTGGGTATAGAATTCCAGCTTGACAGTTTTCCTTCAGTGCTTCCCCAGTGTGCCCCCCACCACTGTCTTCTTACTTGCATTGTCTCCAGTGAGAAATCTGACGTCATCCTTATCTTTGTTCCTTTGCAGGTGTCTTCTCCCCCCACCCCGACTGAGTCTAAGGTGTCCTTTTAAAACTCTTAATCACGAGTTTAAATAATTTGACTGTGATGTGCTTGTTCTGTTTTTCCTTGAGCTTATTTTGGGACTTACTGAGCTTCTTGAATCTGTGGATTTATAGTTTCCATCAAATTTGGAAAAATTTCAGCCATTATTTCTTGAGTTTTTTTCCTGACCTCTCTTCCACTTTTGTCTCCTTCAGGGATTCCAATTACAAGTATGTTAGGCTGCTTGAAGTTGTCCCACTGACACCAGTTTTTGTCTGTCTGTTTAATTCTCTTTTCTCTGTGTGTTTTATTTTGGATAGCATCCACTTTTGTGGTTCAAGTTCACTAATCTTTTCTTCTGCTGTATCTAATCTGCCATTAGTCCCACCCAGTGTATTTTTCATGTCACACGTTATGGCTTTCATCTCTAGAAGTTTTTGATTTGGGTCTTTTTCAAATCTTTCACATCTCTGTCTAACTTTTTGAAATAAAATTGTAATGACTGCTTTAATGTCCTCGTCTGATTGTCCTGACGTCTGTGTAGGCTGTGCATTGGGTTCAGTTGATGTGTTGGGTTCAGTTGATTGTTTTGTTACTTATGAGTGATGTTTTCTTGCTTTTTTGTTTTCCTGGTTGTTTTCCATTGGATGCCAGGGCTGGTGATTTTTGTTTCATTGGTTGCTGAGTATTTTTGTATTTCTATAAATATTGTTGAAACTTTTTCTTGGGACCAGTGAAGTTATCTTATCCTTTTGGGTTTTGCCTTTAAGATTTGCCAGGTGGAGCCAGAGTCGTGCTCCTTCTAAAGCTAGCTATTCCCACACTGGGGAAATGCCTTTCTTCCCGATGCCCTGTGCATCCTGAGATTATCCAGCCTGGCTGGAGGGAGCAGGCTCTTTCCCCAGCCCCGTGTGAGCACCGTAATGCTCAGCCTTCCTGAGCGACGCTTTCCCTCGCCTTGGGTAGTTTCCTCGCACACGTGTGCTGACCAGCTCTCAGTCAGAATCTCACAGGGGACCCTCTGCACACACCCGGGTCTCTCTGTGTGCACCTCTCTCCTCTCTGGTACTGGATCCTGTGAACTCCCCTGTCCACTCTGCCAGCAGACAGAGGTCTGTGGTGGAGAAAACGTCATTTCTGCCATTAGGAGACTGGTCTCAGCCCGTGAATGTGAAAGCAGAAGCGGAATGAACCATCGAAGGGAAATCTGATTTCAGTCTGCTACAAATCCCTCTCTAACATCAACAGCCGTCATTTCCTTGAGAAAAATGATACTGTGGGCCGTGTGAGTGCTCCTGGATGGCTGTTACTCAGTGAGCTTCTTATGTTGCCATGAGTTCTGTGTTGTTCAGGCAGTAATTGATGTTGACAGGAGCAAACCTTGGTAGGTATAGATGGAAACTTCAGAGTGAGAAAAGGGACTGGCCAGGCCCTACATAACTTGGTGACTCTTCATCTCCGCTGTGGTTCCAGACATCTAGACAGACATCCCCTATCCTCAGTGTTCTGACTGGAAGTATGGGGTGGTGTTGGGAGGCGATGAATGTGGACCATGCGGAGGGTAGTGCCCGGTAATGGACAGCCTGTTTCCCACCCACAGGTGCCTTTTTCATCCCCTACCTCATCTTCCTCTTTACCTGTGGCATTCCTGTCTTCCTCTTGGAGACAGCCCTGGGCCAGTACACTAGCCAGGGAGGCGTCACAGCCTGGAGGAAGATCTGCCCCATCTTTGAGGGTAAGTAGCTCCGTGCCTGATTCCAGGGTGTCTGCACCAGTGGTTATAAACCTAATTTGAACAACTGGGTGGTCTATCAGCAGTGCTGATTGAGATGAGACTGTCTTTATGTTAAACCCTCCACTTGTAAGCCTGATACTGAGCTAATCACCCAGCCCATCAGAGAATGGAGAAGATGGGGCTGAGGATAGGGCAAAGGCTTTAATTAATAGGTAGAGCACAAAGCTATTTTAGCTATATATATTTTAAAATATATAAAAATGATTTTGTATTTTCCAAAACATGCTTAATCAATTCTAGAGCACTTAAAAGAGAATTTTAAATGAGAAAAAATTCATGAATAATTCTACCATCTTGACATAATAGCTATTTAAAACTTAGGGTGTTTTTTTCCAATATTTCTGTCTATGTGGGAGTAATTTTATCCCTTGTGTAGATTTGTGCAACCACCAGCACTGTGCCGTCACCAGAAAGGTCTCCATCATAATGCTCCTTCACAGTCCAACGTGCCCCTCCCCCTATCCCTAACCTCTGACAACCACTAACTTGTTCTCTGTCTCTACAGTTTTGTCACTTTGTGAATGTTGTATAACTGGAATCACACAGGTTGTGGCCTTTTGAGACTGGCTTCGCTCAGTGTGATGCCCTTGAAATCCATGTAGGTTGCCCTTGTATCAACAGCTAATTCTTTTTTCTTACTGAGCAGTATTCCATGGTATGGACGGATGTACTGTGGTACAGTTAACCATTTACCCACCGAAGAACATGTGGGTTGTTTCCAGTTTAGAGGGTTTTATCTCTTTATTTCTCTCTCTATATATAAATTTACATGTCTATTAATATGAAATATGCACAGTTTATGTTTCTATTTTCCATTTTCTACACAACAAGCCTTTGATTGCATAAATTTCCATCAAATGGATATGTCATAATTTATTTAACAGTTCTCTGTTTTGGGGCTTTTTGCTTATTTTCATTCACTTATTGTTATATTCTGCTAGCATGTATCTTTGTAGAGGTAGCCCTTTCCCCTCCTTTTTTGGAATTATTTCTTTGGGATAAATTCCCGGGACTAGGTTCACTGGATCAAATGGACAGCCAACTTGATGTCTCTTGAGCTGGCTTATTAAACTGTCCCATGGAAGTGCTCTACTGCTGTACAAGTCACTAGACTTGAGTGAGTGTCTTTCCCCGATACCTTCCACAACTCTGAGTTGTATCTGTGGCTCCCGAACTTGCCTGCACACTGAAATCACCCCAGGACCTTCAAAACATCCTGAGGCCTGTACCCTTCCCCTGAGATTATGATTTAATTGGTCCGAGGTCTGGACTGGGCTTTGAGATTTCTGATATATCTCCAGGTAATTCTAATACGTGGACAAGTTTGGAAATCCCTGAGCTGTGTCATTTGTAAACATTTTTACCAGTGCGGTAGGTGCAGAAGGGCACCTCATTGTTGTTTCGTTTTGTACACATACAGTTATTAGGGAGGACGAGTAGGTTTTGAGGATGTTTATTCACTATCTGTATTTGCTCCTGTGTGAATTGTCTGTTCCTGCTTTTAACTTTTTTTTTATTCGTTTGTTTGTTTTATTGAAGTATAGTCAGTTACGTTGTGTCAGTTTCTGGTGTACAGCATAATGCCCCAGTCATGCATATGTGTACATACAATCGTTTTTATATTCTTTTTCTAACACAAGTGTTTATGTTTCAGAAATAATTCAAACTAATTCCAGGGAACATTAGCTATTGGAATCTCGAAGTTAGCCTTACCCACCTGTAAAACAGCGTGGAATCAGTGAACTTGCAGAACCAAT